CTACTTTAAAATACTGGGTGTGTATTTTTCTATTTTTGGAAATACATTTTACCTAGTATCATATTTTACATCTCACATAGATATAAAGTGTGCAGTCTAGGGACTGCATGGAGCCACAAACCATGAATGTGTGAAAAGGCTTAGCTTTTTCTTTTCTTTTCTTTTTTTAAACACTGTGGACGGCTATGAGATGGAAGGAAGCTTGCATAGGAGAGGCTGCAAAATATGAAGCCTTCCTGTAAGTTTACGTATAGGAAAAACTACAACTGTAATAGATTGAAAAAAGTACAGGGAGTTTTGCCTCCTTCCTGGCCACCATCACTACTACTACTACTGTCATATTAGGACACCGAAGCACTGCCAGCTTGAAAGGATTAACCAGTGACATCAACATTGGCCAGGGGATGCCCAGTTGGGGATTCCTTTCATGTCCCTATTAAGCTGCCCACCGATGTACCCATCTCTCTACTCACAGTTGCCTGCTTTTGAACTGCTGGGTCAACAGGAGCTGGAGCAAGTAATGGGAGTTCATGGAATTCTTGCAGTATCAACTGGGTCTCGAATGTGAGGCTGCTAATCGTCAGCCCAACAATTCTAACCACATGAGCCACTGTCCTCCATAGTGTTTCATACAGTAGCCAAGCTTCTGGAAGATAGCACTTCTTTCCTGTTCTGTATATTCACAACTGTTTTAGGAAAAAAAATATTTTTCTGCTTCAAGCTCTTCACAAATAGCAGATATCCTACAAGTGGCAAGTTAAGAACATACTATGTAAAAAGAGGTGGAAAGTAAAAGCAGTTTACAGAAAAGGAGGGAAATTGTACAGTATTTAAAGGAATAGGGTCTCACATAAAAGCAGAAACCATGTTAATTGAACACAAGCAACCATGAATAAATACAGTTATAAAAATTATTTGGACCATATGCTTAATTAAGTGTTAGAGAAGTATTAAATCTTTACCTTAAAAAAATTGAGCACCGTCTTTGACTCAATGAAGCCTCAGATTGAAACCTTTATGAGTTCTGTCCATCTCAGATCCACCCAAAATGAATTTGTGACATTTCAGGTTTTAAGGCATTAACACTACAACCTCCTACTTAAGTTAGTTTCTGGCCACTCTCACTTTTGGAGTGAAATCCTTGATATACTGTGCAAAAACAGTGCCACTCTGGAATTGATGGGTTATATAGTCTGAAAGGCTGTAGTATTTAGAATTAAATTTTATGTATTTTGCTGAGAAATAAATTCTATTTTGCACAGTAGAACTTACTTTCCACTGTTTATAATAGTCAGCTAAAACTAATTCTAGTTGATTTTGATTGATTGATTGATTTTGATTGATAGACAGACCCCACACACACAATATCTTGTCTCTGAGGCAAAATGTAGAATTCAAAAAGTATGTGGGTTGTGTAAGAGATAGGTTTTTTTTAAATTAAAGAACATAATGTTTTCAAAAATCATATATTTGAGAAAGATGCGGATAGTGTTCATTTAGCTTCTGTTTCAGATAGTGATAATTCACAGTTTTGATGATGATGAAAAAGTAACTTTGTGATCAATGCCCCCATTTACAACCTTCACAGCATCTCTCTCAGTCATATGTTCCCCATTACAGTCTGTAAGCGTTGTCTTGTGCCTGACCCCTTCTTTTTCTTTCCCCAATTAGAGAAATTGCCTAAACAAGCTACCTCTTCCTAAGGCTGCTTTAATCTGGTTCCAAAAACGGCTAACCAAAAGTTAACAAGCTCAGCTCTTTGACCTAAATTAGTTGATTAGACTTCTATTGCTGGCTCTCCTGCTACAGAATAGGGACAAGACCTTAATAAATTTCACACTGAAGATTTTTTGATTTCTAAACAATCTATACTAGTCCATTCCTCTCGATATGTTGTCCCCAATAAGCAATAATTATTATAAACAAAACACTTTATAACAAATTCTGATAAAGGAATTCTTGAATATTGGAAAATTATTAAGAGCGCAATGAAAAGCACAACATTTTGGAAAGAATTTGACGAAAAACAAAAGGATGATGTAGTGAAAGCAGTAAAAATGATTCAGATGCAACTCAAAAGTATAAAGAACTAGAAAAGATTAACTGCATGGTTTTTGGCTAAAATCTTGACAAGCTTACACTCCAAGTCAGCAACACAACTGAATAACCTTCTGTAAACAACAATAAAATGAAAGAATATTTCTAGTACCAAAAGGCAAGAGGAAGCAAAAGAGGACTCTAGAGCACAGGTGTCAAACTCAGTCGCGTCACGTGACATATCACAGTGTTTTTTTGCCTTTGTGGAGCCAGGGTGGGTGTGGCCTGCGTGTGATGCATCTGGCCTGTGGGCTGCCAGTTTGACAGGCCTGCTCTAGGGCTAGGCCTATAACTTGCTGGTTCACAACACTGAAAGTGTTAAGTGGGATGAAAAATCTACACGAGCTTATTTGAAATAATAGAACAAAAGAGGCTTCAAAAATTCATGTAGCACAAAATATTAGCTACTAATTGATAAAATGATGCTTAAAATTGCCCAAAAAAGAGAGACTTGTACAGATTTTTTAAAATGCATTAAAATCACTGCTCCGAGACATTGTAGGAAGAAAGCAGTGTTAACATGGTAGCCAAAAACCAGGAGTCTGGTAGCAACCTTTCTGACTAATACATTTTATTAAAAGGCATAAGCTTTTGTAAGCTGCAGCTCACTTTATCAGATGCATAGAGTGAAATACAAGAGTAAAATTTGGCCTAAAGAGATGTGCTAGTATGGCACTTAATGAAGATAAGAATAGAAGATGGATTACAGCTAATGAATGGAAATGCCATTAGACCCATGGACCCACTAATATAGCATTTTATTTTATTTAGATATTAGCATGCTGTCTCATAAATTCTCTGACTTATGATCAACAAAAATTAATTGATTAAAAATGGAATAGTATAAAATAAATAACATGAAATATGGTCGAACACAACATGCAAGGTCTCCAAACCACAGGCTGCATTAATTGGTTTTAATTCCTGATTGAACAGAAAGTTCATCCTGATGAGCCAGTATCTAGCTTCTCCTTTTTAGGGGGAAAAAGTGGTTGTTTAGCAGCTTTGGAGGACCTTGGATGAAGCAGATTATCTGGATCCTTTTCAGTTAGATTCATATTTGAATATGGTATGGAAATGGCATTGGTCACACTTTTGGATGGTCTCTGATGTGGGCAAAATAGTAACGGTTTTGGTTTCTATACTGTTTAATGTATTTATTAACTGTTTTAGCTCTCTTGTAAGCCACACAGTTACTGCAGTGAGATCAGTGGTTATATAAATGAGTTTAATACCATAACCAGATCTTGAGGGCCTTATGAAAAATCAAAAGGGATGGGACCAATCTAATTTCAATGGAAGGATGTTCCATAAGGTGGGCGCCACAGCAGTGAAGGCATGTTTTCTGGGATTCACCAGATGTAAATCCCTAGCTGTTGATACTGGTAGCATACCTTCTCTGAAGACGTAATGGGTAGACTGATATAACCGGGGAGAGACAGACCCTCAGATAGCATGATCCCATGCCATGAAGTGCTTTAAAAAAGATTAAAACCAGCACCTTGGATTAGACTTGGAAACAAATTGGCAACAAATGCAGCTCATGGAGGCTCATCCTCTTAAGAGGAGCCCCAGATTGTTCACTGGATCTGTCTCACATGACTATGGGGTGGGGGGGCAATTGCAATTTTGATGATGGGTCATAAATAGCTTTTGTAATGTCCGTCAAGCCTTTGAATGTTCAAACTATTGTAAGTTGAAAACTTTTACATTCCTATTGGATTGTGGTTTGGTTGCATAGATTTTATATGGTTCAATATATCTCTCTTTAAATGAAGGAATATTTTCAAATTAGTTACGAACAATTAAAAGCAGTAAAGCATACTGTGGCATTGCACTGTAAAACATAACATTTTTTGAAAATGGATGTATGTATGATTGAAGTATATTTTATTAAAGCACTATAACTAGTTATGTGTGGTGAAAATCTGTGGTTTTAAATACTAAATTTTTGAATAGAAGTACATCTGCATACCAAGTTAATTCCATAAATTTAAAGATTTCTTTTATTTACTTGAGTATTCAACGTCTCCAAATAAACAGGTATAACATAAAGCATTGAGCAATTAAAAAAATAGTATTCTGTTATTTTACATATCTTAGTCCTATGTAGCTGACATTCAGACCTCAAATAATAAGAAACCTCAGTCTATAAGCATTCCGAAGCAATGTATTGATAACTGAAATATTATTAGGTTCATCAGGGGAAACCCCTTTTGGTATTTCTGAACAGTTCTGTATTTTGGTTTGTGTTAAATTATGTTCTTATTTTAGCTCTCAGAGTATTTTATAGAGAGCGTGAGTATGTATGTAAGATATTTATATGCACACACACATGTATGTATGTACCCACATACAAATATAGATACCATAGACACATTAGCATAACTGAAGTGATCCTTTTTAAATTTCTTTTGTTTGTTTTAATATTTAATTCTTCATACAATTGTTCTGCAACCTGTTAACAAAAAGAGTCTTCTTGGTAGCTCACAGAAAAGGAAAGGGGGGAAAAAATCTAATGCAGAAGTATGCACAGCCTTTTGAAAATGGGTAGTGGAAAGAATAATAAAATGAACTGGTATGTTAGGATTATTTCCATGCATTTGACATATAGCCTATTCATATTTATTTAATATTTACATTTTTATATCATTTGTACATTCCCCACTAACAAAAAGTGTCCACTTGGTAGTTTATAGGAAAAGGGGAAAAAATAAGAACATTGAGGTATACATAATATTTTTAAAAATGAATAGTGGACAAGATAATAAAAATAACTGGTGAGAGTTACTTCTGTGCATGCATTTATATCTCTATCATTTTTCAAATACTTTAGTATATATTTGTTTAATCAGAAAGGAATAAGAAATATTAACCTGCTGTTTGATTACTTTTTTTTCCAGAAATGTGGTACTGGGTTTTCCTATGGGCTCTCTTCTCTTCTCTCTTTGTCCACGGTGCTGCAGGAGTGTTAATGTTTGTCATGCTGCAAAGGCATAGGCAAGGGAGAGTAATCTCTGTCATTGTGGTCAGCATTGGATTTCTGGGTTCTGTAACTGGAGCTATGATAACCAGTAAGTCTTACCTGTTCAAATATAGTTGTGGTTCTTTTTGAAGATTATTATGAGCAATTGTAATAAATGTTCATGTATTGCTTCTGTTCATAGTTTTGGAATTTTATATTGGATTGCTATTCATTCTCTGAAAGGAAAAAAAATCACATATAAGATTGTAGTTATTATATTATTATTATTATATCCTAGGCATAATTCTCTTCCAATGCCATTATCTGGTAAATGACAATCATAATTCTTATTCTCAAGTTACATAATGGCTTTATATACATATTTTTTGAATTTCTGATAATGTACTTGGATCATTTGTGTGCCAGGTCTGTTCCATAATCTGTCCTTTTATCCTAGTACAATTAAAAAAAAAGCTTTTAAAAATTTTGAAGTTTAAAGTGGGTGTGCCCATTTCCATGAGTCAAACTGATAATAAAAATCTGGAACTTTTAAAAAAAGGGTTCTATATTGAAAAGGATTTTATTACCTTCTTATTGCCATTCTAGCTTTGGTGAAAATAGCAATAGCTATTTTTTTAACCTTCCCTTATAAAAAAAACATCTCGTGCAACTATGGCAATAAGGGATAGAAAAGTAAAGCACTGAAAGATCTACTATGATATACTGGAATTCTGGATAAATAATAATAGCATAACCTTCACATTGTATAGTAAGTTTTCAGTTGCCAGCAGAACAAATTTGCATGAATTGCTGGTCCACATTAATGTAATATTGCGGTGGAGCTTAGTAAAATAGCAACTAAAACTTGGCATTTTATATGTTAATGCATGTTTCTTATTGTATTTAAGATAATGAAGGTTCTAAAGAACCGTTTAATAACTTGACAATGAGACTTTATCCAATAAAGATATTGTCTATGTATATGTTACACTTACATTCTGTTCAAGATTTTGTTACAATCTAAAGTACTTTAGGAGATAATTACTGAAATAGTTATACTTAATAAGAATAGCTTCACAAAAGAAAAATAATGTTATCTGACCCTTTATAGAATAGGTGCACTATTTGCTTATAGCAAATTAAGATTAGCTTCTCTCAATTCACACATTGTTTTATATATATAAATGTCAAAGGGATTGTGTGTGTGTGTGTATGTATGTGTATGTATATGCATGTATAATGTGTGTGCGTCTGTGTGTATGCATGCATATATATAAACACCTCATAGAACTAACAGAACACTGCTTAACCAACACATATTTCATATACAAAGGACAAAGATACAAACAAATAGAAGGAGCCCCCATGGGATCACCACTGTCATTTGTCATTGCAAACCTGTTCATGGAAGAATTCGAATCCAGAGCCCTGGCCAATGCCATCCTCAAACCCAAACTATGGTTAAGATACATCGATGACACATTCGTGATTTGGCCCCATGGACAAGAAAATCTAAACAATTTCCTAACACACCTAAACAGCGCACACCCCAAAATCAAGTTCACCATGGAAACAGAAACAAACAAACAACTACCATTCCTAGATGTACTAATCTACAAAAAAACAGATGGCACACTAGGACACACCATATACCAGAAGAAAACACACACCAACCGCTACCTCAACGCCCAATCCCACCACCACCCAGCACAGATAAACTCCGTGGCTAAAACACTAATTACTAGAACCAAACGCCTGGCAGACAAGACACACATTAAGACTGAACTATGCAACCTGACTAAAATATTGACAGCCAACGGCTTCCACAAAAGCAAAATCACCAACTTGATCCACAAAAACACACTGAGACATAATAGAGACCCAGAAGATGAACAGACCCATGGAACAGCTGTCCTGCCCTACATAAGAGGCACTACAGACAAAATTAGTAAGATACTATACAGACACCACATCAAGACTGCCTTCAAAACAGACAGAAAAATAGCAGCCATCCTCAGAAACCCCAAAGACAAAATTGACCTGGAAAACCAAGGCATATACGAAGTCCCCTGTGCATCATGCCCGGCCACGTACATTGGACAGACCAATAGAAGAATAAGCACCCGCCTGGATGAACACAAAAATGCAGTCAAAAAGCTGGAACACACTTCCTCACTAGTCCAACACATGGAAGCCACAGGTCATAGAATCAACTTCAATGGCACCAAAACCCTAGCCACTATAGAAAATCCCAGCCACAAAATCATCAGAGAAGCCATAGAGATTGAAAAAAGACCAGAAAGCATGAATAGAAGAGATGATTCCACCAGGCTGTCAATCATTTGGAAGCCTGCACTCACAAACAAAAAAATCTCCACACCACAAGCCAGGCAAACACCTGGGCACAAACAGATCCCCCCTGATACCTCCAGCTCAAACACACCCCAACCAGGCACCCAGATGAAACCCAGCTTCCTAACTAATGATAGCCGTCCATTTACCCGAAGCCAAGCTGCACTAAAGGCCTCCAATAAAGTAACACAATGTTGCCAGCCAATCAAGATACAAAAAGAGCCAAAAAAACAGACAGAAGATATTAGAAGCAGAACACAGCAAACTCCAAGACCAATAAACACAGACCAAGACTCTCAACCAATCAGGATGAAGAAAAAACCATTCTGGCACAGCAATAGGCTGCCCCAAATTTAAATCTGAAACCACTGTAAAAGTCTAACTCACAGACGAACACTATACAAAAGCCTGATGATGGCAGATGAGATTCTGCTGAAACGTTGCTACAACTTTAAAAGAACAACTACAATGACGTGGGAAAATACCCGAACCAAGCTGAATACCATATATATATATATTTTTTTTCTTAAGTTTTCGCGGGTACTTACATGTATGGCCTTCAACTTTGTTCGGGTATTTTCCCACGTCATTATAGTTGTGCTTTTAAAGTTGTAGCAACGTTTCAGCAGAATCTCATCTGCCATCATCAGGCTTCTGTATGTATCAGGATTCTGTATACAACTTTAAAAGAACAACTACAATGACGTGGGAAAATACCCGAACAAAGCTGAAGTGGTTCGGGTATTTTCCCACGTCATTGTAGTTGTTCTTTTAAAGTTGTATACAGAATCCTGATACATACAGAAGCCTGATGATATATATATATATCCATCCATTTACTTGAAGCCAAGCCGCACTAAAAGCCTCCAATACAGGAAACACAATGTTGCCAGCCAATCAAGACAAAAAAAATGCTACAAAACAGACAGAAGATATTAGAAACACCAATCACCAATCAAGCAGAACACAGCAAACTCCAAGACCAATAAACAGACCAAGACTCCCAACTAATCAGGATGATGAAAAAACCATTCTAACAGAGCAGTAGGCTACCACCAAATTTAAAACAGAAATGGCTGTGAAAGCCTGACTCACAGACGAACACAATACACAAGCCTGATGATGGCAGATGAGATTCTGCCGAAACATTGCTACAACTTTTAAGAGCACAACTATAATGACGTGGGAAAATACCCAAACAAAGCTGAATGCCATACATACATACATACATACATACATACATACATACATACATACATACATATGTTTTTGTAGATTTTCACAGGTATAGGTATGTAGGCTAATGGAAAAAAAGATCACTACAAAACAAACGACCCAGGAGATTACAGCACAAGATCCAGGATATCTCCACAACAGAACTCACAAGGCCATCACACAGCCCATTATACCAACATCAACTCCATCAACCAATCAAGAGGCAGCAGCACAGCCAACCAGCCCAGCACACCAGCCCCCACCACCAGTATTTATAGAGTGACAGCAGCTCCGATCACACACTGCTTGCACTGGCACGAAACCGAAAGCACTAGCCTGAGGATGGCGAGTGGGACCTCGCCGAAACGTCGCCAAGATACTCTTAATCTTACACGGGAAAAGACCCAAACACACACACACACACACACACACACACACACACACACACACACACA